TGTTTTTGGTTTGTGTTCTTTTGGTTTTGGCGGGGGAGGGGTTCCTATGTTTATTAGTTGTACTCAGCAGAAGTCTTTGATACTTGACTTCGGACATGTTTTATTATTTGCTTTGATGACTGATTTTTCATTATTTTCCTTTCTGTAGCCTGTGCTAAAATTAGCTGGCATTTGCTGAAAAGAGAGATGTTTTGGAATTAGATTCAGCTGTGTGTAACAGGAAACAACCAAAGAGGCTTAAACTAGATAGAAGTTTCTTTCTCTGCCATGTAAAAGAGGGCTGGAGAAGGGCAGTCCAGAGCTGGCTTTGGACCTGCTCCACGATCCCCCCTGATCACCTCCCACCACCCCCTGAAGGGGCCTCCTCCTCACTGTCCAAGGTGGCAGCCAGAGCGCCAGCCATCATGCCCAGGAACAGGACAGAGGACCGGAAGAAGAGGGAATAGCTGCTGCCTTTGCACCACATCTGTTTGCATTTTCTTGGCCAAAATTCAGACATGTGGCTTCACCAAGGGAAGCTGGACAATCAGGCCAGCTAAGAATCAGGACCTCACTACTCAGGACTAAGGGAAGAATGGCTATCGAGAGGAAGGCTACCATCTCCTCCACAGACAAGGATAAAAATCACATTTAAGGCAATCCGTTCACGGAAGAACAACTACTACATTTATGATGACAACAGCACATATTTACTGAATAGTTAGCAACTGTGGGCCCTGTGCTAGGCGCCTCGTATCTGTTACCCAATCCTCACACAGGCCTCTGAAGGACAGACCATGACCACACTTGCTCTACAGACGAGCAGACCGAGGCACAGAGAGGCTAGGTGACTTGTCCAAGGTCACCCAGCTAACAGGTGGCACAACGTGGATCTGAATGCAGGCAGCTGGCTCCAGGTCCCCCAGGACAACTCTCACCAGCACTTACAGAACCGGGGCCAGCTGGGTGCACCCAAGGGGCCACAGACTCAGGAGTGAGGAGGGGGCCCGGGGCCAGAGCTGCTCTCTTACTCTGAGCCTCTGCACATCTCATCCACTCTACAAATGCTCGTCCCCAACACGCGTGACGTGTGCGATGAACTGCCTGGTGCCTGTGTTTGCGGCTCCGTGGGCAGCCAGTACACGGCAGGTGCTCCGAGGACACCTGACCTGAGTGGACGCAGGCTCCACGCGGGGTCGAGACGCAGCCCCTGCCCTCCAGCGCTCAAGGCCAAGTAAGGAGATGGGCGGCCGTGGGGAAACAGAGCCGGCTCAGGCGGGGCCTCCATGCGACAAGCCTGGTGAGGCCGAGCTGTACTTTGTGAGTCACAAGCGGTCAGGTTGTAAGGCCCTCGAGGCAGGCCTCAGCCACACATTCCTCTCAAATCCAAGGTGAGAAGTGTAGGCTCAGCCCTGAGGCCACAGGGAGGCTCGAAGCAGGGGGTGGCAGGGCGGCCCCCAGGGGAGACCATCCTGGCAGCCTGTGGCGAGGACTCTGCCAGACTCTGCCGGACTGGGGCAGGGAAAGGGTGGCTGGAGGCTGAGGGGCCCGGACAGGAGGAGGCGGCCTTTCAGGGCTGAGGAAACTGGCCGAGAGGGGCCGAGGGGAGTCTGAGGTGGGACGGGAGCCGAGTGAAGGCATTTGGAAGAAGGGGCTGCTGCGGCTAGGGGAAGAAAAGCACAGGAGGCCTCTGGGGGAGAGGGAAGGAGGGGGCCTGAGGGGTGCTGGAAGGGGCTGGAAGGGGCCCCGGCTCAAGCTGGCCGAGAGCACTTGGATGCCTACAGGCTGTGCTCACAGCTCAGCAATGTCCCGGGCCTGCCAGGATACGCCTGGCTGCTGCCCCTGCCCCCCAGCCCCAGCCCCCGGTCCCACATCAGGAGCTCTGGAGCTGCCCCCCACCCCACCTTCTGCTCCCCAGAACCCAGACATACCCCCCCAACCTCAGCCTTTCCCCAGCGACGACGGCTAATGAAACCCAGGCCAGGGAAGAAGAGGGAGAAAACAAACAGACGTGGGCAGGGGGGCCGTCAGGAGGCGGGGCAGGGGCTGGGGGTGCCAGTCGGGGGGAGTCGGGGCCGGTCTGAGCCCTGGGGCGTGGACTTCCGCCCACTTTGCCCCGCAGGGCTAATGAGGCCCAGGTGGTCCCTTGGCTGGGGCCCACTTCCCGGCGCCACTGACAGTGTAAGTGGATGCCGGTTCCGTGCCGGGAGAGGGGGAGAGGGGGCTCTGCAGCCACAGGGGCGGGGCTGGAGCGGCTGGCCGGGGGCCCAGCACATAACTCTGGGCCGGCTCAGTCTGGGGCGCAGTCTGGGGCAGCAGACACCCAGCCGCTTGGAGCCCAGCTGGCAGCATGAAGGTACCGGGCTGGGGCGGGGGCCTCAGGGCCACAGGGGACTGAACCCACCCTGCAGAGAGGACCCTTGCCAGGCAGGGGGCTGTGAAGGGACGGGGCTCAGTCCAGGGGAGGTGTGGAGGCAGAAGCGCAGACCAGGGGCTCCTGGCAGGGCTGGTTCGTCTGAGGGGCAAATGCAGAGGGGGCGGGGGCTCTGGGGCTGGGCGGGTGACCCTGTTCTCCTGTCGTCAGGCCCTTCTGGCTCTGCCGCTGCTGCTGCTTCTCTGCACTGGCCCCTGCGTCCCCCAACTCTTGGGGATCCGGGGAGATGGTAAGCTGCCACACTCGCACAGCCCACAGGCTGGGCGAGGGGGCTGTCCTGAGCATCGCAGCTGGGAGTCGGGCCCCAGGGCTGAGCCTGTAAGAGGGAGCAAGTGGGCCAGACAGTACGCGCCCCCAGCTCGGGGAGGGAGGTGAAGGGGGGGCCGGGGGGGCGGAAGTGGCTGGTGTGCCTCAGGCCCCTTCTCCTCACCCCGCCCCCAGCTCTGGAGAGGTCATGCCTACAGCAGCCCCTGGACTGCGACGACATCTACGCCCAGGGCTACCAGGCGGACGGCGTGTACCTCATCTACCCCTCGGGCCCCAGCGTGCCTGTTCCCGTCTTCTGTGACATGACCACCGAGGGTGGAAAGTGGACGGTGAGTGGAGGGGGTGGGCACGGAGGCCAAGCCGCACGGCTGTGAGCCTGCGACTTCGTCTCTAAAGCAGCGACGATACAGCACAGTTTGTGCGCCTCTGCCACCACAGACTCCTAGATGCTTAAGGTAGGTTAGTGCCTGTAATCCTCACAATAATCCCGGGAGCAAGGTTACAAATGAGGAACCAAAACCCAGAGAGGTGCAGTAACTTGCCCAAGGGCACACAGCCGGCGCCGGACTCAACCCCAGGCGCCTCAATTCTAGAACGCCCCCTTCACCGCTTCCTGCTCTCGGCAGCCGCTCCCCGAGGGGCCTGGTGCCGGCACGCGCCTCACCTCGGCCCCCAGCGTGGTCCTCGCCCGGGTGAGGCCCCAGCCCCCGGCCCCTCGAGCGTCCAGGCCCATCCTCTCTGCTCCAGGTTTTCCAGAAGAGATTCAACGGCTCAGTGAGCTTCTTCCGGGGCTGGAACGACTACAAGCTGGGCTTTGGCCGCGCCGATGGGGAGTATTGGCTGGGTAAGGCGGGGCCCGGCAGGCTGGGGGCCCCCAGAGCCAGGTCCCCGCTGACCGGCACGCCCCCCGCCCCCTCCCAGGGCTGCAGAACCTGCACCTCCTGACACTGAAGCAGAAGTATGAGCTGCGGGTGGACCTGGAGGACTTCGAGAACAACACGGCCTTCGCCAAGTACGGCGAATTCTCCATCTCGCCCAACGCAGTCAGCGCCGAGGAGGACGGCTACAGCCTCCACGTGGCGGGCTTCGAGGACGGCGGGGCAGGTACCCACTCTCGCCAGCCGCGGAGGGGCTGGGGGGAGGCCGGGCTGCCCCGCGCCCAGGCGGCCCCGCGGGCTGCGGACGCACAGCTACCCAGCGTCTGGCTCGGGAGAGGCCCCGTCCCCAGGCTGCCCCTCCCCTCCGCCAGGCGACTCCCTGTCCTACCACAGCGGCCAGAAGTTCTCCACCTTCGACCGGGACCAGGACCTCTTCGTGCAGAACTGCGCGGCCCTCTCGTCGGGCGCCTTCTGGTTCCGCAGCTGCCACTTCGCCAACCTCAACGGCTTCTACCTCGGCGGCTCCCACCTCTCCTACGCCAACGGCATCAACTGGGCCCAGTGGAAGGGCTTCTACTACTCCCTCAAGCGCACCGAGATGAAGATCCGCCGGGCGTGAGGCGCCGGCCCCGCCTCGCGGCCCCGCCCCCCGCCCTGCCGCCCCGCCCCAGCCCCGCCCCGCTGCCCTCAGCGCCCGCGTCTCCCGGGGGCCCTGTGGCTCCAGCCCAACCGCTCCCCTCACACCCACGACGCCCAGCTCTCGCCCGGGCCTCCGCTCCCCTCCACCCAGCTACACGTCGGCGGCCTCCCAGACCTCCGGAAGGCACCGCCACCCGGCCTGGACGCGGACACCGTCCGGAAGGCTGCGGGCCGGTGTCCCACCTTAGCCGGCGTCCCGACTGCGGCCTCCACCAGGGCCCCGCGCCGGGAGACCGGAGGCGCAGTCCGACCCACTCCCGGCACACGCCAGGCCACCTGCGTGTGGCCGCCACCGCCACGCCCTAGCAGTCCCGCCAGCCAGCAGAGAACCTCCCATCCTTCACCTCCCTCCCAGCGGCGAGCACCACGGGCCCCCAGCCCCGTCTCACTCTCACGCTCAGCTTCCCCCGCCTGCCCGTCCCAGGCACCCAAAGCTCGACACCCAAACCGTATCTCACCCCAGCTACCGCAAGCCACACTAGAACAGCCACAGCCAAGGTAGGCACAGATTGTGAGGTCCCCCCACCCGCCCCGGGGGGGAGTCTGACCATGCGAGGTGGCAGAGGGCAACCTCTGTGGGGCTGGGAGCAAGTGGGGAGGGGAGGTCTTAATAAACCTCAGGACCTGAATGAACTGGCCTTGGCTGTTGTGCACGCAGATGCGTTTGCTTGGCCCCCAAGCTCCGGTTCCCCCGCTGACGGCACCCTGCCCTTAACTCCAGAAACACGCCCTGGAGACAGGCACTAAAGGGAACCTTATATTTCACAGGCTTCGTTTTGATGGCAAAAAAAATTGTGTAATAATAATAATGTAATAATAATAAAAAAAATACAATACTGAAAAGTATCGCTCGGGGGGGTAGGGGTTGCCCCTCCTGCCGTGGCTCGTGCTGGCTCAGGTGGCCGCTTAAGGCCGCAGGGTGGGTCTGAGATGAACCTGCAGAATAATCCGAGCTGAGCTTCCCCTGTCAGGCCCGGGGCTCCAGCCCTCGGGAACGGTCCTGCGGATCTTGGAGCTGGGTCTGCCCCTGGCAGCAAGGCACAGACTGCGGGCCTCAGGGCTCCTGGAGGTCAGGCAGGTCAGCCAGCAGCATGGGGGAGTCCATCTGGATCTCACGCTGCAGGGACTCGATGTCAGCAGGGTTTATGCCGTGGCCCTCGAGCCAGTCGGCGAGCAGGGAGGCTGAGAGCGAGGCTGAGTCGGCCTGGCTGAGGGCGGCAAGGGGGAGAGTGGGGTGAGGGGCTCCTCCTGTGCTGGGAGCCCCTAGCCATAGCCCATTCTGGAGTCCCGGCCCAGCTCTTACCCGTCCTGTGGCCCGTCAGCCACGCCCATGTCGAAAGACTGGTTTAGGAATTCCTCCAGGTCAAAGCCAACGCCATAGCCCGCTCCACTGCCCTTTGGGGTGCCGGAGAACACGGGGGGCAAGGGGTCCTCCACCTGCAGGGGATGATGGCAGCTTACAACGCGGGAACCACCCAGCGCCAACTGAGGTCTGCAGGGCGCCCCACCCTGACACTGCCCTCAAGTGGGCCTGGACACCTGTGGTGACAGCCCCAGCCTCAACAAACACTGAGTGCGGGCTGGGGTCTCCAACGACCGGCTCATCAGCGCTACGCTCCTTCTGCGAGCGAGCAGGCAGGCTAGGAGAGCTCGAGCCCGGTCTGCCGCTCCGCTCCACGGGACCAGGACACACAACAGCCTCTCCTGCACCCAGCGACCTCCCAAGCCCACCTCCCCTGGATTCAGATCCAGGCATCCCCACGGCCAGGCCTCTCCCCTCACCTGCGACTTGGACAGCTGCTGGGTCACCAGGGTGACGTCGGGTGATTCGGAGGTGGAGGGCTGAGGGGCCCCCCCGGGGTCTGGAGGGGGTGGGCCAGAGGGGAAGTAAGGCAGAACGCTCTGGGCGCTGGCGCCAGGCAGCCCAGGGGGGGCCCCCAGCGGCCGGGGGGCCAGGAGGCCGGAGGAGGCGGTGGTCTGGGGTGGAGCGGCCGCAGGCCCAGCGGGCGGGCAGGCAGGCTGTGGCGGGGGGGCCGCAGGCGGGCTGCGGGGCCGGGCGGGGGGCGGCGTGGGAGCGGGGGCCGGGGGCCGGGCCATGCGAGTCCAGCGCTCCAGCAGGCTGCGGTCGTTGTCGCTGAGCACCAGGCCAGCCAGGGGGTCGGCGGAGGGGCCCCCGGAGGCCCCAGCGCCCCGCTCCTTGCGCTCCCGCTCCTGCCGCCGCTTCTCCCGCTCCTTGGCCCGCTCCTGCCGTCGCCGCCGCTTCTCCTCCCGCTCCCGCTGGCGCTCCTGGGCTGTCACCGGCTTCCGAGGCTCGGGAGCTTCCAGGGGGGCGCTGGGGCCATCTGCGGAGAAGACGGGAGGGTGACGATAAGAGCCTGTCCAGGCCTGGGGCCCCTCTGCCTCTCGCTCCCCAGCCAGCCGCGGCCTCTGCCAGGCACCTCGGAGCCGGCTCCGCAAGGACTTGAGCAGGGCGGCCTTGAGGGCAGCCTTGGTGTTGTCTGAGATGGCTCCCTCCCTCTTTGGAGGGGCTGGTTCACTGGCCGGCGGGGGCGGCTGCAGGGTCAGATCGATGGTGTCGGGCGCAGGGCCAGGGCATGGCAGTGGGGCCGGCGGAGGGGACTCCATGGCACAGTCCCCACTGGGAGCCCAGGGACTGGGCATCTCAACATCGGGGCAGCCGGGCTCACTGGCCACAGGCTGTAGGGAAGGCTGGAAGCGGATCTGCTGGCGGATGCCCTCGCGCCGTGCGTGGAAGTCTTCGATCTCGGCCACAATAGCCTCCTTAATGCGTTCCCGTGTGAGGGCTTCGCGGTCAAAGGCAAAGTCAAAGGGCGGGGCGCAGTCAGGCTCGTCATCGGGGTCGTGGTACTTGGCCAGGAAGGGGTGGCGAAGGGCGGCAGCTGCTGAGATGCGGGCACTGGGCTCAAAACGCAGCATGCGCCCCAGCAGGGAGAGGGCCTGGCGGTCGGCACCCGGGTACACCGTCTCCCAGGGCACAGGCTGGCGTGGCGGCAGGCTCTGGATGTAGGCCCGCACCCTCTCAGCCCCAACGGCCTGAATCACGGCCGGCGACGGGGTACCCAGCACCATCATGATCAGCTGCAGCTGGTGCACATAGTTTTTGCCTGGGAAGAGCTGGCGGCGGGCCAGCATCTCCCCAAAGATGCAGCCCACGGACCACAGGTCGATAGCCTGCGTGTACTCGTGCAGCGAGAGCATGAGTTCGGGGGCACGGTACCAGCGCGTGGCCACATACTCAGTCATGAAGTACTGGTGCTCGGCGGGCGAGGTGCACAAGCCTCGGGCCATGCCAAAGTCCCCGATCTTGAGCTCGCAGTTCTCGTTCACCAGCAGGTTGGAGGGCTTGAGGTCGCGATGGATGACCTGAGCCGAGTGCATGTACTTGAGGCCCCGCAGCAGCTGGTACAGGAAGTAGCGCACATGCTCCAGCGTCAATGGCTGCGAGGAGTGGATGATCTGGTGCAGGTCACTCTCCATCAGGTCCAGAACCACATAGCTGAGGGGCAGGGGAGACAGGCAGGGGCTGTCTTGCCCACCCTCCAGCCCCAGCCTCACCACGCCCTCCCGCTCCAGACAGCTCATGGCCTTACTCTCAGACTCTGCAGGGGCCACCCACTGGGTATGAAAATTCTAGATTCTCTACAACTCTTCCATTAACTTAAGTGAAGTGAAATTGCTTTTCTCTCCAGATCTAGTTTCACCATCAGAGTAAAGGTAGGGTTGGACTAAACCAGGCTGGCCAACATGTTTTGTTCGGGAGCCCTCTCCATTGTTTGGTAGTGGCTGCTTGAAAGACTATGATGAAAACTGTAAAGTCGTCTCCATTTTCTGTAGGACAGTGTTCTGTGATTGACTAGTGATGTCTGCTACGGGAATAAAAAGGTACAAATATAGAATGAACGTCCTACGTTTGCCAAGCTACATACTGAGGTCCTATAAAACTGTTACTTCTGCATTCTTCTTGAGGAATCACATGTATCCCTGGCAAAGCCCTAAGGGAGCACTGATCCTAGAATCGCAGGAATTTTCCCAGCCTGCCCTACATTAGGTTCAGCTACCCTTCTAGAACTTCAGCAATATGGCCCCAGCGTTCAGAAAAGGTCCCTGCTCGGTCTCCCTCTTCCATCCCCGCTCCTTACACAGATTTGAACTCGCCATAGGGCACAGTGGGCCTCAGGATGTCCTTGATGGCAATGATGTTGTCGTGCTTGAAGTGTTTGAGGATCTTCAGCTCCCTGAGGGTCCGCTTGGCATTGGTCACCACGTCAAAAGCGTTAGGGATCTTCTTAATGGCCACCTGCTGACCTGGGGAACAGGGGAAAAGCAGATGCCACAAGGTACCCTGGTTAGCTGCAGAGTAGCACAAGGCCCCTTTCAATACCTCCCTTTGCGGACGCAAGTGACAACAGCTACCACTTACAGGGTACCTACTTTGTGCCAGGCTCTGTGCTAAGCATAGTACATACGTTATCAGATTTTCCCTTCACCTCCTTCCTGAGGCGGGTACTCATAGCTGAAAGTTAGAGATATGGAGACCTGGGCTCAGTAGCTTGCTGGGCATTGCACAGCTAGTTAGTGGTAGACTCTAGACTCTCACACCTGTGCTCACTCTACCTCCCTACACTCTGCATCTCAGACCTCATCCATCCCACCACCAACCCCGAGCGCCAGTCTCTGGCTCCAGAACACACTCTGGAGAACCTCCATTCGGGTCTAACGCGGACTGTCACCTAAGGAGGAAGTAGGCTGATGCGCTGGCAAAGCCACCAGAGTTTCAGAGACCCGAGCCCAATACAGAGGCCGGCCCCCAGAGGCACCCAACCCATGCTTGCTGACTTGACCCAGAATTCACATCCCAGCGTCCCCTATGGCTGCTTGGGACGGGGCGGGTCTCAGCCCCCGGGAACCGGTTTCCACACGTGCGAGCAAGGCCGGGCGGGTCGCTCACCGGTGAGGCGGCGGCGCGCGGAGGACACCACCCCATAGGCCCCGTTGCCGATGGTCTCGATGATCTCGTACTCGTCCCCCACGTCGAAGGTCACGTCGAAGGAGCGCGCCTTCAGCAGGGCCAGGTTCTTGGCCGCCACGGAGGCGGCGGGGCCGGTGGGTTCCGCCTTCCCCGGCCCGGGGGGCTCTCCGGAGCCATCCTCGCCGTCGTCCTCCTTCAGGGGCTCAGCCATGGCGTCTGCGTGGGGACGCGGGCGAGCAGGGGCCCGGCCCCGGACTCAGGGGGCCCCCCGGAGCCTCCAGGCCCGCAGGCCGAGCGGCGCACGCACCCTGTGTCCCGCACCCGCGGGAGCCCGGAGCTCAGGCCCGCGCGGGACGCGGGGTCGGCGGTGGGGGAGGCGCAGCGAGGCGCGGTCCAGGAAGAAAGCGAGGGGCGGGGCGCCCGCTCTCCTCGGTCGGCACTCGGCGGATGGCGCTTTACCCCGATGCCGCCCAGGCCCTCGGAGGTCCCGGCTCCCCGGCTCCCCGGCGTCGCCGGCTTTCAGTCCCTGGGTCGGGGTGATGGGTGGGACCCGAAGACCCACTCGCTCACTGGGTCGGGCCGCCGCCACCACCACCACCACCTCAGCAGCGCGCGGTCTCCCGTCCCGCCCCCCAAGACCACGCCTCCGCAGGCTCTGGCCAATCCGTGGACGGTCTCCGCGGAGGTGCCCACCCCTTCCACTTGCTGCGTCCAATCAGAGCCCACTGGCCAAGGAAGCCGCGCCTCCACCCGCGCCCGCGCCGCTGTCCAGTCCCCCGGCGGGAGCCGCCCAACCCGCGCTCGGCTTTCGCAGCGGCTCTGCGGCCTGGTGCCCTCCTCGGACGCATGCGCGCTGGCAGCCCCGGGCGCCGCGAGACTGGAAAGCATCGCCCCCGCGTGCGCGGGCACGCGCATCCACTCCGATCCGCCAGGTGGCCTCTGGTCAGTTGCTGCTGGTCCTGGGAGCTTGGAGGGTTGAGGTGACTAGATGTTACCTTGGCGGCCGCATCACTCAGTCCCCCTCCTTCAGCCCCCTCTTCCCTTATCAGCCCCTATCGCCCCGGGGATTGCGCCCCCCATTTTCCCGATGGGCCCCGGGAGCCCGGCGCTGGGAAAGCGTCGTCCCAGGTAGAAGGTGATCCGTCACATCCAACCACGGAGATCCCGGTTCTCCGGGTTATAGAGCGTCGGCCCGAAGCCTCCACTGACTTCCGGTGGCTGGTCTCCTCTTAGCTTCCGGCGTCGCCGGGCCTCGGCTCGCGGTTTCCCGGTCTCGGGCGTGACGCCTCCGTGGGGCGGCTCCGTCTAGCGACTCCCGCGCCTTGCCTGCGGGGCAGCGGGCGGGGCCGCGGGGTCAACTACGCCCGCTCGCTGGAGGCCGCGTGTCCACCGGTGTCTCGGGAGGAAGCGTCCGGGGTCGGGAGCCCAGGAGTTAGGCCTGAGCGCCTCGGCGAGGGTCCATCCCTTCCGTCCCAACTGGTGGCTGAAGAGTAGATCCAGACCAGAAAGGAATTTTGTTTACATTCCCCACTGTTGTGGTTGTTTATTTTTTACTAAAACATACATAAAGTTCCACATAAGTGTCAATCAGTTTTCACAAACCTAACACCTCAGCGTATAGAATTCAAATGGAGAAAACCAAAAATACAGAACGTTGCCAGCCCTTCAGAAGCCCCTTCTCTTTTCTTGTGGTGACAGTTTCTTTCTGTTAACTCTTCCATACTTTGTGGGGGTTTTGCACTGAAATTTAAGAGGTTCACTAGGACCCATACATTACGATGGAAAAGTAGAGACTGCGTTCTTAAAAACACGACATAAGGAAACACGTCTAGGAGTATAAGGTCAGCCCCAGAACAAATAGATACCTCGTATTTCGACATGGAAAAATCACATGGGCCTCCTGAGTTAGCTGAACTATACATTTGTTTCTGATTTTCCTGACAGCACAGCAAAAAGCCAAATTCTCTCTTACGTGATTAGCCTTGAACATCAATAAACCACATTCATGGGAAGTGGACCTTTTCTGCCCTGAGTTCTGAAAATATTTCCATGATGGCCTTTCCTTAGGTGACGGTAGACAGCCTTCCCTAACTCTGAAATATGTGCAGGATAAGTTCTGCGGTGCCCGTCAGTGAAAAGAGAGGGCGTAAAGCAGCAGGGCCCATAAATGCGTCTTCTCAGGGAACCTGGTGGCCAGCTCTGTGATGGTCCCATCTGCTGTGGGAATAAAGCATAAAGTAGCAGAAGAGACCCATAAATTGCGAATCCTTTAAATACTTCTCTATAAATATTCCAGCTAGGATTGGTATACAAGTTACAGACATTTCAACTTCCTTGGCAAAAACTCCCTGATTCTCACTGACTTTTGAGATTGATACACAATGAGCTGCTTTACTCCTGCCCCTACTAGGCCCTGACTCCGTCCTGGAATAGTCATCAATCATCTAACATTCTCAGCCTTGCCTTAAGACCTTGCTGCATTTGACACAACTGACTACTTCAAGAAAAAGTTGTTTCATATGGCTCAAAACTCAAATCTTAATTAAAAAGTTCAAGTGAAAAATCTTGGTCTCACGCCAGGTGGCCGATTTTATAGTTTTCTACTGGAAGTAAGAAGAAACAATATAAATTCAACACAAGCAAATACTAATACACACTCTTACCCACCTCCCCTTTACTCTACAAAAAGGTAACAAATTCTTTACAATTTTCCTGCAGATCATGCAGTATCAAAAACCAGACGGATCTCTCATTCTTTTTTTGTTATAACAGCGTTTTTGAGATATAATTTACATACCATAAAACATTTACAGTGTACAATTCAGTACATGAATTTAGTTCGTTCACAGAGTTGTGCAACCATCACCACTGCCTAATTTTGGAACATTTTCATCACCCCAAGAGGAAAGCCATTAGTCACTCCTCATTTCCCCTCCCCAGCCCCTGGCAACCACTAATCTGTGTGGAGTTGCCTATTGTGGACGTTTCAGATCAATGGAATTATACACCGTGTGACCTTTTGTGCCTGACTTCCTTCACTCAGCATAATGTTTTCCAGGTTCATCCTTGTGGCATGTGTCAGAACTTCATTCTTTCTTAAGGCTGAATATATTACACTGTATAGATAGACCACATTTTGTTTATCCCATCATCAGTTGATGGACATTTAGGTTGTTTCTAGTTGCGGAGCACAGGCTCCGGACGCACAGGCTCAGCGGCCATGGCTCACAGGCCCAGCCGCTCCGTGGCATGTGGGATCTTCCCGGACCAGGGCACAAACCCGTGTCCCCTGCATCGGCAGGCGGACTCTCAACCACTGCGCCACCAGGGAAGCCCAACTTTTAAAAACTTTTTGAGGAGCTGCCAGACTGTTTACTTCAGTGGCTGCACCACTTTACAATCTCACCAGTATATCTGAGGGTTCCAATTTCTCCACATCCTCACCAACACTTGTTATTTTCCTTTTTTTTTCTGTTTTAAATTGTAGTCATCCTGGTGGGTGTGAAGTGGTCTGTCATTGTGGCTTTGATCTGCATTACTCTCATGACTAATGATGTTGAGCATCTTTTCATGTGCTTATCGACCATGTTTCTTCTTTGGGGAAATGTCTGTTCAGTTCCTTTTCTGTTTTGAATTGTGTGATTTGCCTTTTTATTGTTGAGTTGCAGAGTTCTTTACATAGTCTGGATATAAGTTCCTTATTAGACGTATGATTTACATATTTATTCCCATTCTGTGGGTTGTCTTATCAGTTTCTTGGTGGTATCATTTGAAACACAAAAGTTTTTAATTGCAATTAACTCTGATTTATCTATTTTGCCTTTTGTCACTTGTGCTTTTGATGTCATGCCTAAGAAACCATCTCATTCTTTTTTATTTTTAAAGTTTTTTATTTTTACTTATTTATTTTTTTGGTGGTCACATCGTGCAGCTTGCGGTATCTTAGTTCTTGGACCCCGGACCAAACCCGGGCCCTCAGCAGTGAAAGCACGGAGACCTAACCACTGGACCGCTAGGAAATTCCCATCTCATTCTTTTTTACAGCTGCATAGTACCACTTTTCAGATATAATCTATTTACCCAAGACCCTATATAGGTGGACACTTTTTGCTATTGCAAACGATGTAGTGCTAAAGTATCTTGAACACATCGTTTCGTGCGCTGTGAGTCTAAGCCACCCAGAAGCGGGCGTGTGCCAAGTTGAAGAGCGCTGCACTCGCGACTTTAACGGTGTCAAATCCCTGTCCTTACAGATTATATCACTTTAGGCTCCCACCAGCAGTGTGAGAGGAGGAGTCACACGGTGCTTTTTAAAAGCTTGGAGTTGTTTGCCTTTGTTGACAATGGGAGACGTCCCCTAAAAATCCCGGTTTCTGGTTTCTTTTGGAAAGCTGGAAGATCTGTCAGCGTCAAAGCTGCATTTCCACAAAGCGTTAGTGGACTGTAACAGAGCGGTAGCCTCGCCATTGAAATGGGGGCTCTCCTGCTCACTGGTCCCCACCACTCCCCGACTGCGTCCCCAGCACAGGCCGCCTGTCACATGCCATTCATCACATGCTTGTACCAGCGTAGAAACACCTTAGTAAAAGCAGGGAAATGAAAGAGGCCCAGGGGACATGTCTCCAAAAGAAGGGGGAGGGGGAGGGCAGGGGAGGGCAGGGGGAGGGCACGGGAGGGCAGGGGGAGGAGGGGGAGGGCAGGGGGAGGAGAGGGAGGGGAGGGCAGGGCAGGGGGAGGAGGGGGAGAAGCAGCAACTAAGCTGTGGGAATGAAGAGGGTCTCCTGACACAGACCACTGCTCAGCCCTCCTGGCCGTGCCTCCTGCCTGGCCACATGCACGTCCAAGTTCACGATTTAGGCCACTGGGAGCCTCCGAAGAGGTTTGAGTAGAACGCCCTTCCGAATTGCCTTCCTGAGAAATATTTCTGGCAAATGGTGTGGAAGGCATGCTTGAGAAAAGGCTGGAGAAAAGGAGATTATTATGCCGTCCAGGTGACAGCCCTGACGGGGCTCTGGACCAAGCAGTGGCAGTGGATCCCTGAAGACGGATGTGGAGGGAGGTGAGAGCAGGAAGCGTGGGCTGTGTCAGAGCTTCTGTGGAGACAATGGGGGTGTCACCAAGATCCGGACACCTGAGCTGCGTGGTGGATGCGGGTGAGGCCGTTCAGCTACATCCAAGCACCTGGTGAGCCCCGTCTTTGATCCCAGCCCCGGAGGCCCTCCTGGGCTGCAGAGCCTTAACCCTCGTCATGTTGGGGGTATCGGGGAGCCCCGGATGGCGGACTCCTTCCAACAACCTCCAGGGACCCCCCTTTGTCGATAATCTCAGCAAAGGTTCGGGGTGGCCTCTCATTGGACAGGCTAGTGGGGGGCGTGGGGGGAAGCATGCTGATTGGCCAGACCTGAGTCACCTGTCCACCTCTGGAAGGGCGAGCGGCCGAGAGCCATTTTCCCAAAGGAAACCTGGGCTTTAAGGAAGGACGGACGGCTGCCAGTAGGAATGAGATGTGCCCCACACATCTGCACCCCTCTGCCGCCAGAGGAAGTGCAGGGGAAGTCTGAGGAGCAGAGAGCAGGGTCTCTGTCCGGGAAGCTGCTATTCCGACATGACTGCCTCCCCTCCAACCCCAAAGGCCCTTAGTTTCCGGAAGACACACTTTGGGATCAGGAACAGCTGAGTTTGAATCCTGCTCTGCCACGTTGCAGCCAGGGCATTCTTTACTGTGTATTTCTGTGTCATAACCAGGGACACGTGGTCCCCGCCCCTCTCTCACCGGGGAGACCAACCCTCGGCCGGCAGTGTCTGCCCCTGTGGCCGGCGCTGAGGAGGGGATGCTCAGGCCCCGGGGGTGAGGGGAGGACGCCTGCTCAGGCGGGGAAGTCACAGAGGGACATCCAGGTCGGGACCAGCCAGGTGAAAGGACCCGGAGGAGGGGTAGGGGAGGGTTAAGCAGAGGAAGCAGCAGGTGCAAAGGGCAGGTGTGAGTGAGCTCGGCGCACGTCTAGGGACACAGAGACCCGCGTGGAGGTGGCAGGGGGAGGGACACACAGAGACGGGCTGGAGAGGTGGGCAGACGACCACCGTGCAGGACCCCCAGGGCCCTGACCTCAGTGTCCCTGTCTGCAAAGTGGGGATGTTCAGACCTCTCTGGTTGGGCTGTTTTCTGGGTTTGAGAAATGACAGCCCAGCCAGGAGAGTCCCAGGCATGGGCCTGGCCCTCTGGAGGTGCTGGACCAGCCGTGGTCACTCAGGCGGATACCCCCAGGCCCAGGGGCATTCGAGCCGTGTCTTGGGTGTGTAAACAGTTCTACCCTCACCCTCTTCCAGAGGGAGTCACTGGCCCTGTTAACAGCTGAGAAATGGGTTCAGCAGGGGAGGGGGTGAGTGACCTAGGGCCACGTGCAGGGTGGGGGTGTGCAGGGAGGGGACTGCCTCCACCCCCGGGGTTCCCGGTACCCAGCTGCACTCTCCCCGCGCAGACACGCCTCTGTGGCTAAGGCCGCCAGCCTTGAGTCACCCAGTGAGTGGCTGGGGCCCCCGGGGGGAAGCCCGCGAAGCTCACACCCCGTCTGCAGAGGCCAAGGCAGCGGCACCAGGACCCACTGGTCAGCCTGCGGCCCCTCCCCCCTTCTCCTTCCCCACTTTCCTTAGCTGGCCCTCCTGCCCCTGCTCCTAGCAGAGAGGGTGGCCTGCGGGCCCTGTGGACAGAACGCACTCCCTGAGAAGGGGGCCAGCTTAATGGATGAACCTGCAAAGGTCGCTGCCTGCTCTCAGTGGGGCCCTCAGCACCAGTGGGACAGGGTGGTGAGGGGAGTCTGGGGGCCAGAACTCCTTCCGTGAGCCTGCAGGACCCACCACAGAGGTAATGACTGAGTTAAGAGCCCCTCGGCCGGTGACTTCAGAAAGCCTCAGTCTCCCCTTCTGCGTAGTGAGGGTCGTGATTAAAAGAACATGAAGAGCTGGTCTAAACTACAGCTGGTTCCCGGCCTGCTGTTAACCACGTAAACGGCAGAGGCTGGGGGCAGGCAGGACTCTGGGCAGGCTGGAGGGAGGGCCCCCAGTCGGGGGACAGGGCAAGCCAGGGCAGCTGGTTCTCCCAGCCTTCAATCTGAGACGATCAGGCTGCAAATAAAAGGAAACCACCAACCATGGCCTAAACACATGAAGATTTGTTTTTCTTTCATCACAAGAAACCCAAAGGACTTTGTTGACCTCAGTTTAGCGGCTCAGTAACGCTTGTCAGGGACTGAGGCTCCACCCTGATGATTGGCTGTCATCCTTGTGACATTTTGCCTCTTAGCTCATGGCTGCAAAATGGCTGCTGCACTCCAGCCATCACATTCATGCTCCAGGCAGGATAAAGGATGAAGGGAGAAGGACATGGCACTACCTCTGTCCCCTGTCATCACAAGAGCAAACACCTTCCTGGTAGCCCTCAGCAGATGTGCACTTACATCTCCTTAGACAGAGCTGCGTCACATGGCCAGCCCTACCTGCAAGGGAGGCCCAGAAATCAAGTGCTTAGATAGGCACCTTGCTGCCCCCCAAATCAGGATTGGTTAGAAGTGGAGAACAGATATTGAGTAGGTAGCTCACAGGTGGAAGGGGCAAAGCCACATCTACTCATCAAGAGGGCAGGTGGGAGGTGCCCTAGTGCCCAAGACCAAGACAGGACTCTTCTCGGAGACACTGGAGGCTGGGGGGCTGGATTCCCTCACTCAGGGTCCATGGCCTCCCAGTACAGACCACCCTCATCTCTCCCGGCCCTGGGGGCTCCACGTTCCTTCCCAAAGGTGGCGGGTGCCAAGGCCCCCCCTTGGCCCAGAGCCCATATCGCAGGTGATGAGCAGTGCGGCAGGGGTGGGTGTGAGGCAGGTGCTGGGCGGCAGCTTCAGCTGCCCCTGCCATCTCCTCCAGTGCTGCTGAGCCCTCCGGGCCGCACCATCACACTGTGACACACACACGCTGGCACAGTCACAGCAGTGCTCACGTGTACACGCGGTCCACTTAGGTTGCCGGATCACAGACACGCTCATGCCCACCCAGGACGCACAGAATACGGGGCATCACTGTGCACACACATTCACACGCAGGGACGCACACGCAACAGCGTTCACGTACACAC